TGAAACCGCTTCAACGTATAGGAGAGTTAACAACTGATTGTGGACATGCGTTTCATTTCAAATGTCTGGCACAAAGTGTTCAGCACGATAATTTCAAATGCCCATTATGTCGAAGTGATTTAGATTCATTGATTGATGTTATTATACCATCGCATAAAAGATCGCAAGCAACAGTAGCAGTAGCCTGTTCTCCTGAAAAATCAGTTCAGAAATGGGAATGCAACCGATGTACATTTGAAAACAGTTCTCTTGATGCATTATGTACTGTATGCGAACTAGGACAACGACCAGGCAGGGATAGTGATCCTATAGAACTAACCAAACATCAAAATGCACAACAAGAAGCATATGAATCATTTTCTAAATTTGATCACACTCGTAACACTCCTCCTTCTTCTCCATCTCTGCCACCAATACACGAAAATTTAAGCGCTGAACCGGAAGATTTAGAATTAGACGAAAAATGGGAATGTAATAGTTGTGAATACAAAAATTCATTATCAAATGAAAAATGTCAAATGTGTGGTGCAGAAAATAGAAATATTAATCGAGAAACTACAAGTTCATCTCTCACACCATCTGACTCATTTGAAAGTCTCTATTCTGATATTGCAACCGTTACTCCATCATACTCACAAAATAGACAAAAAGAGGAAGACGAAGAAAAGTATCGTCCACGTACCACACACACAATGAGTGCAAGTACAACATCGAAATTTACTAGTGAAACAACTGATTATCCCGATCAATATTTTACTACTAAGAAGAAAGAAACACCTCAATCTCCACAGAAACAAGAAACAGCAAAGACGACAGTGACAGCACGTGGAAATTCATTACAACAAACTTTAGCTAACGTTGTCTATGCAGTTGATCTTCCAGTTGAATTAAATGAAAATGAAATAGAAAACGCTATTCGTGCTTCTCTTCCTAATGCTCATCAAATCTCAGTTGTCAATGTAAAATGTAATCTGAAAATTGGTGTTACAACTGTCGAGCTAAAAAACACTGCTGATAAAAAAAAATTAATCGATATAAAAACTGTTATTCTCGCTCATGGCCCTCCAGCACAGACAGCTAGATTCGTCGATGAAATTCAACTTCTAGTCTATCTCGTAATTGAACAAAAGTCTTGTTCTCAATTAGAAGCACCTTCACTCAATGAAATACGTCATAAATGGAACGAACTCTATCATGATGAAGAAAGCAGCAGAGATAATTCAACCCAATTATTACCACAACTTGAAATTCTAACAAACCAGTTTCCAAATATAATTAAAGCTGTTTGCTTGCCTGTAAGTGAAATAGTAAAAGCAACAGAAGCTCAAGTATTTCGATTAAAAAATGGTCAAATTGTGAACATCAGTGTCAATCAGTGCCTTAGTTATCTTGAAGATATACCTTCAAATGTGGACGAAGATCTACTCTTTTGTTGTATTGCTACTCAATTGAATCTATCTGAAGTTGAACGAATACAAAATTCGAATGGTTGTAAACAGAAAGCAGATGAAGCATATAAGGCACTTCAACAGAATTCCTCTCTTATAAAGTTACGTTCATCTTTCTATATTCAAATTAATCCAGATTCAAAATTAGCTGTTATTCTCACATCTTACAACGATCAAGTCACACAAAAATGGATTAAAATGCAGCATGTCAATGTCAAAGGGCAGCCTTTGACAAGAAGAAATGAAATGAGTTTAAAACTTGTTGTTAAACCAATTCCTAAAACGATGTCCTTACATACGTTAGCGTCACACAATATCTTTCAAAACTGCGTAGCAAATATAACTACAATGGGTGATCAAGCTATCGTCGAATTGAAGTCAAAAACAATCTATGAACAGTGTCTTTCACGTGGTGCCATTAAAGTAGACGGTGTCAATTTGCAAATTGAATCTTATAAATCAGAAACAGCTCTTGATCCAAGTCAAACAACAATTGATTCACAGAATTGGTATGATACTGAAATGTTAAAACAGAAACCAGATATAGCTTCGTTCAATTCAGAACATTCTATATTTAAACGTAAATGGGATGCTAAACTATGGTTACAACACTTTCATCGTATTCCTAATACAGATCGTAAAGATTTTACAAGACGAATGCTTAGAGTAACAGTGATGTTGAATACACTATCAACTGTACGTACTGGAAAGTACAGACTCGTAAAAGATGAAAAAGAAAGTGAAATAGTTTTTCAACGTTATCCTATGAAAACAGTACTCTACACAGAACAATCGAAATTATTTGACTGTCAGCGTGAATCAATTTCTACAATAAAACCACGATTCTCCTTAACAGCCATCGAAGTTGTTAATGAAGATTGTCTCGTTGCCTATGAACGTTTAGCAGCAGAAGGTTTAAACCCAGTTCTATTAAACATGGCTAATGCAGTAACGCCAGGCGGCGGCTACCGAAGAGGAGATGGTGCACAAGAAGAAAATATTTTTCGAAGAACTAACTATTTTGTAAGTCTTGACCATTTTCTAGAACCAGATCAACGGCACACACAAAATGAACGTATGAAATGTGAATCCAATGGATCGTTAAAACAGCTATCAACAAATGAGAAAATGTATCCAGTTGAAGATTTTGGTTGCATCTATACAAGTGGAATTACAATCTTTCGTAAAACTGAAGCAAATGGCTATGAATATCTTTCGAAACCAATCTACAAAGTGAGTGCAATTGCACTACCAGCCTATCAAGCTCCTGATCTGACAACTGATAATCGTCTTTCCTCAAAAATTGCAGTTGGTACACGTAAAAAAATTGAAAATCTATTTGCAGTTGCATATGCTAACAATCACAATTGTTTAATCTTGTCTGCTTTGGGATGCGGTGCTTTTAAAAATCCTCCAAAACATGTTGCATCTATTTTCAAAACTGTTATCGAGCAATATGCTGGTTTTTTCCAGAAAATTATCTTTGCTATTATCGATGATCACAATACTGGCGGTCGTCTAAATCCTGGTGGTAACTATATTATATTTAGAGATATTCTCGATAATATTAAAGTAAAGCCACCTCAACAGCTGACACCAAAAACAACGATTGGACCATATGAAATTACTGAGAAATCTAAAGTGAAAGATTACATAATGTGTAATGGTACACCGTGTCAATCAGGAGCTCGTTGTCAGAAACTGGGTGATGATGTACACTGTCGAAAATATTTACATCCAACACGTTGTCTCAACGGTAAAAACTGTCAGCTATTAAAAAATAAAGATGAAGATCATTGTCTCTTCTTTATGCATGCAATCCAATGTAAATTTGGTGGTGAATGTGAACTATTAGCTAAGAATGATCAAGAACATTTAAATGAATTTTTACATCCAGATTTCTGTTCGTTAGAAGGCCAGTGTACTAATATGTCATTAGAACATTTGAAAAAGTTTAGTCATTTACCATTGTGTCAATGTGGTCCACAATGTTATAAATTTCTTACTAATGATCGTGAACATAGTAAACAAGTTCGACATTGTAAAAAGAACTGTCTCTATGGGAATAATTGTGCAAATTTTCACGATCTTGAACATATCAGTAATGAATCACATCCATTTCCAACTCCTTGTCCACTTACACCTTATGCTTGTTCAATATTTATTAAATTTCAACAACAAAATCATTCATCTTTGAAATCATATGAATTAGAAATACTAAAACTACACTGTGTTCGTTATTCACACGTTTGTCCTTGGGGAAGACTTTGTACCGATCATGATGAACTGCACAGAAACAATACAATTCATGTTGCTCGTAAAATGTGTCCAGGCACAATAGATAAATGTACAATGTTAACAAATGACGAACATCTGAATACATATTCACATACTGGAATACGAGATATTCGTCTTCTCTGTAGTTCTTCAACTACAGAATGTTCAGATCGTTTTAAGAAAGAACATTGTATTAAATACCGTCATGGAACAAGTGAAGAACCACTTGGCGTTACAAAATATTTTGGCTTAAATAAGACAATTAGTTTTAGTCGTAATCAAAAACAAATGATACAAGCTATTCGTGACCATTTTAAAAATAAAGATATTAAAGTTCCAGTTGAACTACAACAGTGGATTCGTGCTCTACAACCAGTACATCGATGTAATCTAAAAATATTTGAATCAATTTTGGTACACGGTCATGTAATGAGTCGTGAATATATGGATTATCTATCTAAACCAAAATTTGTTGCACAAGCAGCTCTTCAACATAGTCGTATACAGCGAATTATCGATAGAACAAAAGGGAAAACAGCACAGAAATACACTCAAGAATATGTCAATGCAATTGTAAGAAAAGAATTTAATCCTAGTCGAAGTTCAGTTTCAGTACCAGCTCCAGCAGCATCACAACTTATCAATCCAGTTCAAACAACTTCAGCACAAATGCAATCGATACTTCAGCCTGATGCTAGTGATGACGATGAAGTCATTGACCTTCGAACACCTAAACAACGTATGTCACTCTATTTTTCATCAAATGATATAGAAGAAATTTATTCTTGTACAAGTGAAATTATTAAAGCATCAGTTAATCTACATCAAAAGAAAGAAGGGATAGGACATACACCTGATATAGCACTTGAAACAAATAAACATGTTTTTTCTATTCTTGGCCCTCACAATGGTTATAATTATGGTGATATTTTTCTTGTTTTTAAACGTGATATAATGTTACATCCAGACGCAAATTTTACAATTCAAGCAGCTACTACTTATGATAGTGGTAATGCATATAGTTGGCGACCTTGGCTAAAAAATCCTGGAAATCGAAAAGAACAATATAAACATTTTCATAATTCCAAATTACATTGTTCATCAAATGGATACGATTATGTAGTTGCACTGGAATTAATGGCATTAACTGGTAAGAATAAACTTGATGATGATTTAAAACAAATTATTAAACGTTGGATGGGAGCTGATTCTCATCAAGTTTTAGAAGCACATTTACCTCAATTAATTCCACTGAATTATATTGATCGTATTTATATGCCAAAGAGTGTAGCAGATGCTCTCTCACAAAAATCAAAAAAATACGTTGAAGCAATGTTTGGTGAACGTCTTCAAGTAACAGATCATATAATGAAATCTCCACATACGACATTCGATTCACCAAGAGAAAAATATCAAAAATACGTCAATGAACAATTGCTTGAACGATTGAAGAAACGATGTGATAAAAAAAATAATCAACTTTATTCCGTTCCACTTTCAGGGGTCGGTACAACTGTCAGCGTTCCCGGTTCAGATTTCAATCTTAAATCATTTATTTTATTACCACTTTCTCTAAAAGATACATATTTTTCAACTCGACGACCATCCTCATCAGATGTGGTTTATGTCTATTGGAAAGCACTGAAAGGTGATTTTATGTTTTTGCTAACGGATAAACCGAGAGATGCACGTTTCTATCTTACTTGTTACATTGCACCAACTCCTTCATCAGCTCAAAATACACATTCAGCGTCAGAACTCTATCATTCAAGTATTCACGAATCATATTCTTATATTCATAATGCTTCTCCAGTACTTCACGATGCAATCTTAGAAAGTCAGTTGTTCAAAGCTGGTTCAAATAAATTTCATATGGGTTGTAATACAAATGATTTTATTATTTATTGTCTAAGATTTAATGTACAAACTGGTGACGTTTCCTTGATACATGTTGGTTCAAATGGCATCTATAATCACAGTCGATTGCAACACCAATTTAAAAAACAAGAAATAGATTTATCACAATTAGAATATATTCAAATTGCAACTGGTTCTCAAACTGTAGCATTTCAAAATATAACAATTAGATATGAACAAATATCAGAATTGCATACATCATTTGATCAACACTTCGATGGAACAAATGTCACTTCTTCGTCTTCTACACAAAATCACAGAGATAGTACTGCAACTTCGTCGCCTACCACTCATAAACCTACTGCGTCAACGTCTAAAGCGCAAGATGATTCTTATTTAATGGCTGCAATAAAACCTCTGATATCAGTGTACAATGCGTTCGCTGGTCAACAAGACACCGAAAAACGTGAACGTTGTCGAGATTCGCACAACTGTCTCTTACAATATTCTCCCAATGACTCAAAACGTCACAATTCAAAGTATACACATCCCTGTCGTTTCTCAGAATTGTGTTGTCATATTAAAGATAAAGAACATTCGAATGAATATACACATGAAAAGCATAATGTTCCAAATTGTAAACGTGGCCAACAGTGCCATGACACAACAAATCTACATCACCGACAACAATATCGACATCCTGATTTATCAGATTTTCTAATTCCATGTAAAGATCAAAGGGAATGTCGTGATAAGTCATTTCTACATTTACAAAAATATTCTCATTCCTCTTCGTCTACTAGCCACCATAGTCAACACGGTAAGTGATTTGCGTGTGTTTTTACTATAATATTTACTAACATGAGTTCCTTTATCTTGTTGTTTTAGGCAAATATCATGAAAGTTCGCATCAAACAACAACGTCTCATGTTCATCAGAGATCAAAACTTGATTGTCATTACGGTTCAGACTGTTATAATAGATCGGAAGAACATCGAAAAAAGTATCAACATCCACCTAGTACTAGTTCACCATCGTCTTTCCTATCTCACAATAATTCACAACTTACAGATACTAGTGTTTATAGCGATAATGATGAGGATGACAATCAGCAACGGCAGTCAGCGCAACAACGATGGCAAAGTCATCATCAATCTCATGACAAGGACTGGATGTAAATGATAAGAGTGTCTTAAAATATTGTGAAAAACTTTTTTTTATTTAGCCCGTTGAAATATATACTTAGGAAAAACGTTTTTCTATAAATGGTTAGCCGCAAAAGAGTGAAATATAGAAATCTTAGAAAATGAGTGAGTGCGTGCTTAACAGAGACAGAAAATGGTTTGAAATATGAAAAGCAGGGTTTTTCTTTCTTTATCGATTACAAAAAGGTGCAAGGAATGTAGAAGAAATGTAAACTCAGAAATGTATGTAGAGACTTAGCACAACGAAAACAAACCTCCGTAACTGCTGCTGTCGAAGACGATGGCATTTCATAATGTTATGGGGATCGTACTGAATTAATTCCTGAGCTATGTGTGTCACTCGTAGACAAATGTGATCACACATAACAACAGATCTGGCTTCCTTCTTGCCTTATCTGGCTCTAAAGTTCTTCCTTTTTTTACAAAACAAGTCTGAAAGAAACCAGTTTCGTTAACAAGCATTTCGTTCTTTTTTATTTGCATATCACATAGTGACAATAACAATAATATTCAGAAAAAAGTTTTTTCTTCTAATAAAGAGAGGTGCAACAAAGAAAAAAAGATTTTACCGAGTGCAAAAGGTAGACCACAAAAATCTGACAAAAAATAAAACAAAAACAAACCGTTAGCTAACCGCAAATTATGAAGTTTCTGTTGCATTTAATGGATCAGCACAAATTTTTGAAAAATCAATTTGTGTATCTGAAAAACGTAAAGATAAGAAGAAAAACTAGAGGTTTGCGAATCTCCAGTAATAGGTGTTAACAAGAGATAAGGAAAGAGATGCTTTTGTCAAATATTGGCAAGTTAAAGTTCGACTTAGACTCAGTCTGGTCTGATGAGCTTTTCTTCTGAAAGGACTAACTTGAAACTGCTGTATTAAAGATTTAGACTGAAGTTCTTCCACTCTGAAACTGATTATTTGAAAAGCCAACTGTTTTTTTTTTCAACAATTAACAACAAACATTTCGAAGAATAAGAAAAGAAATCAGTTTTTTTGTCAAAATACTAATTCCAGTGAGTTTTAGCTGAGAGTAAGACACGGATTCAGGAAAGATAGTGCTTGTAAAGTATCATCTCTAACGCAACTGAACTTTTAAGTCGTCTGCTTGGTTCACTTCTAAATTAGAGAAGACTGCGTCTTCAAACAGCGACAAAAATGATTTCAATTATTTTCTTTCGTCTAACCGCAATAAACTCGCATGATTCATAGAGAATTTTGACAAATGTATGTGTCTTTTCTCTAAATACGTTAGAATGTTTATCACCGAAATTGTTTTGATGATGTTCTACGTATATATTCTCAACTGTGTTGAGAGAAAAGTTACAGAAAGGCAGTCATGAGGACTGCGCGCGTGGTAAGTGCCAGTTCAAGTTTCCAAGGCTTGAACTTTTCTGTAACGAAAACAGCAGTTGTAAAACAAAATTTCTTTAGCGACAAAAATGTACGCGCAAGTCGACAAAACTTTCACTTTTGAATTTATTCCTAAATTTCTCTTGATAGTAGTCCACTCTTACTGAATGATTCGTTATAGAAACCGACTTTGCAGAAACTCTTCGAAGAGCGATGTGCGAAACAGATATTTTCCTCCACGTGATCGAATTCGAAGCTTCAAGAAGAGAAAAAAAAATGAACTGACGAAGGTACGCCCCCTCTTCTCATCGATTAAGTTGCCATCTAACACAAAACAAAAGTGAAAGTGAGTCTATCAACGACCGCACATATCTCTAGAGAGGACGCAAGCAAGATAATACTCAAGATAATACTGAACCGAAAGCAGACAAATTCAGAGTTAGTCAAAATGAGAGCCCAAAAGAAACAACGAAGTATATATTTCAGTTGAATTGATAAATATAATGGAAAACGACTAGCATCAAAGCCAATCAATCAATGTAGCAAAAACGAATTTGTCCGACAAGCCATCTTGCATTTCTACTAATTTAGAGAAAAAACCAGTCGTATTTTAAATGATATATGTAAGGCAACTTTGGCACATCATTCACCTTATTCTCCACCTTCAAAGTTCGCACAACTTTTTCACAGTACGGACTTTCTATACAATATAATTCCTTTCAGTAATGCACTGGCCACAGGATGCAGAATTTGTGTTTGCGGCAATTTATTCTTTAAGAGAATTTGCATAAAATGAGATGAGGGATTGTTAGGCTTCATCTAACTTGTTCGAAACTTATTTGTGTGTACAAATGGTTTATTTGATAAATCAAAAAAGCATGCACTAACATATAAAATACAGTCATATATATACGAGAAGAAAGTCGTACCATACAAAGATAAGAATATCGGACTATATAAGAATGTTAGACAATAAGGAGAATATCATACCAGATAAGAATGTGAAAACGTGATTACAAACGTGAGGAGGTTTCTTCTACATAACAGTAGTCACGTTTTAGGTCCCATGACCTAACACCTCCCCCCTACAAAAAAATTGGATGCCCACGTTCATGAAAAGTTCAAAAGAAACGAAGTGTCATCATGTTGGTGCGGCCTGTGTTGTAGGCATAAACGACGGCTGGTAGTAATTCATCCTAATTGCTGACGTTTCCCTCATATAATTTGGAGAATGCAGGACCAGTTGTTATGTCTTACTGTCACCAGAGCTAACATTCATAGCTCATCCCCACAGAACGAATTTAAATCGTTCTCTCGTAAACCGGTTCCATTCTGCTAACATGGACCTGTTGCTGAATTTTTGTTTGATCATCTTCCACTGAGTATGTAAGAGGATGTTGTTGTTGTAAAACTTTAAACGGCCCTGAATACAATTCACCAAATTTTGGACGTTTACCAAGTTGTTTAATGAAGACCAGATCGCCGGGTTTATAAGTTGGATTCGGTCTTTGTTGATCATAGCGTTGTTTAGACAATTGTTATTGATGAATAATGTTATTTTTGACATTTCTCCTGTAAACCTTCATTAGCTGAGTGATTTGTGTCCAATAATCATTTGCCAATATCATATTCGCCTAATCCAATGGACCATCTATCAATTTGCCCATTCTTTGATGATTTTCGATGAAAGTTACATAATGGACAATGATCAGTTTCCACCGTAAATTCTGGTCCCAATAAATATGGTCTAAATTCTTTAATACATCTTACCATTGCCAAACATTCTTTTTCTGTGGTGCTATATCTCTTTTCCGCTGGTTTTAATCTACGTGATAAATAACTAATTGGTTTAGGACCATCGTTTGTAATTTGTTTCAAACACCACCATAACCAATATCTGAGGCATCAGTTGATAATACCAATGGGGATGTTAAATCAGGAAATGATAATAATAATGGTTCTGTTGATAAAAAATTTTTTAATTGTCCATATGCTTCTTGTTGTTCATGATGCCAAAAGAATTTTTGCTTTCGATTGCTTGTTAAATTATTCAATGACGAGACGATGGTTGAGGAAAAATTTTATCCTTCTAATAAAAAATTGTACGATGTTGCAGAGAATTAGGAGCTGCATCCACCTTGTAAATTGCTAGTCCTTTAGACATATCTTGGATGAATTAATTAGAAATTGCGAAATTACAATATAGTCGTTGTTTTCGTTTTTCTTATTTGGGATAATAAGGGACACTTAGCTACTTTTCATGGGGTAATTCTGGACAGTCCATGCAAATCGCACGCGATAGACAGAAAAAAGCTTCCCCCGTCGTTTAGAAACCGATTCTGACATCATGCTAAACGTCAAAGTTGTTCAGAACCATGAGCTCTATCATATATGTAAAAACCGGACAATAATAGTACTTTCACCGCCATAGACAATACGAATATTGTTGTTTTTGAACGTATTTATTATACACCATAGATATTATTTCGGAATCATTGTTCGCATCGAAACCAGGTTGTTTTCCCTATCCCATTAGGGTGAAATGCAATTAGTTTTTTTTAGAAATGTAGCAAAAACATTAGACTTTAACCGTAAAGTCATTTTTAATCTTGTACCTGTTTTAAATGTGAAAGGAAACTTAATTATTATCATTCACAGCATTGTTTTAGCCTTTTTTCCTACCTCAATTTTCCCTATACATCTATGAAAAACAATAGAAATTTATGAATTGGTTTTCATAGATGTGTAGTCCGAAGTATCCACTAGAAAACTGGATTTTAAGCGACATCTTAGAAACCCATAGTTCAGGAGCTACGGTCGTTTTTCCTGAAGCCTTAGCATTTCTCTGCCGTTCGGTTGGGCAGAAATTAATGAAAACATAGGTTATTGACTATGCTGAGATATTCTATTTTATCCGCTTACTCTGATTCTGTACGTAAAATCAATAAAAAATGTTCGCTTAGTTCCGAAGGTTTCTGGAAAACATTTCTCGAAACCAACATATTTTCTGTTGATTTTTTCAACATTTACTGAGCTTTACGGTATGCTGCAGATAAAATAGAGTATTTTTTGACATGCTGCAGTATTATAGATTATTTGAAGGACAGTTTATATCAGATATTCAACAATACTGTTGCTGAAATGTTTAAATCTGTCTTGAATCTTCCATGTTCAGCCATCGTCGAAAACACATGGCTCATCTCTTTCCTCTCTTTATAGGTCTCTATTAAATCGAGATAGATAATGCGTTTGAAACAAATGTCCACATCTTCAGAATTTTTTTTATCATGATTTTCTTGAGTTCTTGATAAATTGAGTTCGAACTCGTCAACGAATGTATGACTTTCTGCTATAAAACAAATGTCTCCGACCACAACTGTTGCTTGACCAGCGCAAATGTTTGTGATCGACATCACAAACAGGGTTTGAATCTTGTTAAAGTCTCGATTATTCAAATAAAAGATACCTTATCTGATTAAAGAGAAAGATAAGTGGCATCAAAATATTTCCAACACTACATGATTTCATTTTTTATTGTGCGTTTCATAGCTGACAGTGAGGAATTTTATTTTCTCCTACAAACAGTAATATTTCCTGTTTTCCTCCTATAGAAAAGTATCCATCTTTAAAGTTGTCCGCAAAATTTTTGTAGTAGAATGTAGTGGAAAAAGCGGAATTTCTGCAGAATGTTTAAACGGGTTAGATTGCATTAAAAACGATTTTCTCCTTTTTAACGCCTTCGAATTCCTTAAAAATACGGTTTTCTTTCATAATATTTTAAAATGCATTTGATGCCCAAAACTTTGTAGATGTGTCACTTTTGCGAGCTGGCATCTTCAAAGACAATGAATACATTCGCAGCCATTAAAACACTTTTTTCGATTTTAATGCATTAACAGTTGGTAGTATATTTTAATGCATCAATAATCTTAAAGTGTTGGAAAGTGGAAAAGCGTTCCTGCTAACTCATGTAACTTTTCTTCAAAACTTTTTTGACTCCACAACGATTTTATCCAAATTTCAGGTAACACCATGCTTCCTCACTCTTGCTTCAATGGACTCCAATAAGTTCCTAACTATTCTCACCATGCTATTTAAAACTTAGATACCTCTAAGTTTAGTATTCAGAGTCTTCGGGATAGTTATATATCAGCCACATGTTACTTAATACCAGCTTTTAACCGCAAGTCAAAGCTTTTGCAGTGGTAAAAATAAAACATTCATATCTTTTTAAGATTGAACTAAGTGTTTTGCAGTGAATATTTGAAGCATACACTATGATGAGCTTCTAAAAGTATGTTGATAACGTACATTGGATAAAATATTGTATAAACGCGTGTTATACAAGTATTCAGTTGTTTTGGACTGATATCGTACTTCCGTATGTTAAGATAATGATGCAGTGAGAATATGTTAGAATTTACAACGAGATGGATTATGAATCTTTACTTAATCCACACATGGCAAGACAATGATCATCGACCGTAAAAAGACTAAACTCATGTGGTGGATACAGAGCTGGTGAAGTCAAGTCAAAAATGTCTCAAGTCCAAGTCAAGTCAAGTCAATGACTTGGTCCAAAATTTTCTCGGGGTACTTGACTTCAGAAATTTTTTTCAAGTCCAATTATTTCTAGTAAGAGATTTTCGTTTAAATTAGACTTTTTCTACCAGGAAAGACAGTTTCTGAGACTATAAAAAGTCTCTCACTCAACAGGTGCTAGCAAATTTTATGCTCTGTCTAATTTTAACCAGACCTAACTTAACTTGGGAGAAAAATTTTTCCGACCGCGACTTGTCTTGACGTAAAAGTTTTTTAGTGACTTGCAAAACTTTTGACTTGCGCAGCTCTGAATGGATACTTTTCGTCGTTCTGAGTAGAGAATTTCTCGTACTTAAAGAAAACAGTTACTGGTAAATAAAGACTAGAAATGTACCTTTCACGAGTTTTTCCTTTTTATTTTCTCGTTTAACAGTCATCCCACATTATGCGTCGATTACATCAGGAGTATTAAATATGAAAAAGTGCTTTTAGTCGTGTCTGGAACATCAGCATTTGTTATTTTACCACAAATACATGAATTTCAATGGGTGTCATCAATACTAATCTTTTTTGATAATCGTGAATTGTATCTACCATTAAAAAATAATTATGCAAAAATTATTGATGTTATTGCAGATCAACGTTCATTGTTCGAGGCAGTACGTACCACCAGACACAACCTTACCTCAAAGCAGACACGGACATTTAATCTATTTAATCAAAAACAAAATTTAACGAAAGCATTATTAAAAGAATCAGCTTCATTTCTTTGAACAGTTATTTTTGCTGTAACAAATTAAGGAATTCTATCACAATTCACTTCAGTACAGAAAGTACTCAGTATGTAAATCCTACCGAAAGACGTCGGTGCTGGTGTCAGCTCGTGCCCATACGAGAAAATTATACAAAGCCGTGTTACAGCAACCTAAAGAGGAAACGAGAAAAAAATCTAAAGACGTTAAAGCCCGCCGCCTAGACATTTACTTCAGGAGTCATATCCATGCCAGCGAGTATCTTTAGTTCAATAAGCGATACGTATACAACCCACGAAACGCACAAACTGGCAGACGCTGCATGTATTCCTTGTAAGATACCCGCAATCCAAAATTTCAGCAACATTTAGTTTTCATTTTTTTTATATCGTTGGATAGAGCTCATCAAACTGGTTAAGTAAATATTATTCTAAAAGGACGGGGTGCAATAAGAACGAGGATCGATCCCATTTCAGATCACCTCGAAAGGTATCTAGAATGAAAGAGCGTACAGTTTTAGGGGATTCTACACCCTTGGTTCCCCTTCGGACCTCATATCTATCAGAAAATTAATCAGCTTTGAACAATAGCTCCGCGAGCCCATTCCGAGGCCTCGTTGGCCATGTTTATACGATCTTTGATGACAGAGTTCCAGGCTGTTTAACATTACAAATATTAACTCATTCGCTTTAATGCTGAATTTTTGCTCTGTATCGTATTTTCTATGGCACTTTCACACAACATCGTATAAACATGGGCAACATCTCATTTCGTGGAGAATTGAAGGGACTATCGAATAATGTGGTTGAAAAGCTTCTGAAAGATATTTTAAAGTCAAGAGATTTTCTGGAAAACTGGGTTTTTCAGAAATCTCTTTATCGGGGTCCCGAGGCCTAGCATACGTTTTCTTCATCGAAATATATAGAACTCGATGGGCTGTTTCATTTGATACCCAGTTCAAGGTTCTATGTTAAGGTGGTCAGCAGACGTTCTACAAGTTAGGCCAAACCCGCCAGAAAATGCATTTTTCTGCTGCGAGAGTGAAAGGCCTATAACTTTTTTTCTTGAGAAAAAGCAAAAATTGCGGTACTTTATGTACATTTATGGTATTGAAACGTGAATATAGAGAAATAGAAAAAATACCGTATATCCAGAAACAGTGGAAGCAGCTGAATTTCCAACAGTAGTAGTAGTAACGACGATATTATTATCATTTCCATATGGAATGAGTTTGCCGCCATTCTTGAGCGAATATGTTTTACCATTCAGATAAGTGTTTCCTGAGACAGTCGAAAGATAATAGACAATATTTCCGTTATCGTCAATGTTGATCAGAGTTGTATCAGCATTTGTTATCGTTGTTAAATAACTCGTACCTGTCACATTCCAAGTGCTTGAAGCATCAAGTGTCAAACTAATACTTTTAGCCGTGTTGTTTGAGTTAATAGCACCTGTGAACGACGATTTAGTCTCGAGCGTAATTTCAATGGTACTAATACTGTCACATATCACGTCACCAACAAGCGTTTGATTAGTAACCTTAAATTGTACTTGCCCCCCATTTGAACCTGTTGTTCCCCATTGATCAGCACCAGCGGATAGCAAAATGCGTGATGTCGAACCGATAAGCTCTACGGCGCTAAGTTGAATCTGTGATGCTGTATTTGTTGTAAAGAAAAGTGGTCCAGCCAGCGCTGTAATTGATCCTCTTGTCATGGTGAATTCAGCTGTGCCCGTTTCAGCATCACCCGAATAACTCTGATATAAGAAGACACCACACCGAACTGAACCGGTAATTGTTGAATCTGTCAATGTTATATTGTTTCTACCTTCAATTACGGCACCTTCGGAACCCGATGCCACACTTTGAATATTTGACGCTGTAATATTGCCGGTACTGTAAATACCAGGTGAACCTGATCCTGATGTGTTGATCGTTGCTCTAGTGATGAGTAGAGTAGCACCGCCACGATCACTGGCAAGTGCGGCACAATGAGCTCCTGTTGTAGTTATTTTGACTTTATCTGCAATGATTGTGCCTGTCAATGTTCCATGCAATCCACGAGAAACATCTTTTGTCGTGTTTATTATGATATTGTCGATATAGACAATAGATTGACTACCAGTAGAAACAATTGCATTTGAACCCTCACTTGATGTTTGAATAACAGAATTTGAAATATTAATTTTACCACCATTTGAAGCTACTACACCACTATTTAAGCCATAAAAACTACTATCGTCCGCAGATGTGGTGTCACCGCTTAACTTAACAATAGTAAAATTTGATATTGTTAAACTACCACGATTAGTAACAAGAATAACCGATTTATTAACAGACGTCTCTTTAATGGTGGTACTACTAGAATTAATTACATTTGAGCCATTAATCACATACGATGCAGTTAATGTTGGTGAGTTGCTGCTACTAGCCGAAGGAGCTGATCCGGATGACGGTGATCCTGACGGAGCTGATCCGGATGGCTGCGATTCTGACGGAGCTGATCCGGATGGTAGTGATCCTGGCGGAGCAACAGAAGAGACTGCTGCATCTGCAGAACAAAAGTAAAATAATAGAATAATTGCGTAAAAGAACCAAAGTACATACCCACTAAAGCAAGCAAGCGGCAATAGGCTATAAATAAGAAGAAGTTCAACAGTACCATATTTATTAGTTATTAAGTTTTTTTTCCATTTTATAATATGGAAACTACACCTCGCTCATTATTTTCAGCAAGACAAGCATGTCAAAAAAAGTAAATGTAGATTTCACCTTGGATTTGCCGTACATATTTTTTCAGCCGCACAAAAAGAAAAAGAATGCACCTTTTATTCAAACAAGTTGCACACGTGATAGAAATGTTATACGTATCATAGAAAACATCAACTGCCTATTTTATTTTCCAGATTAATTTTCTACGATGTAAAATCGTCTGTGATATATATTTAGCAGCGTATATCTTTTATCCGTGCATAATAGTCTTTTGTACCTCTTGACAACAATACGTGCCTGGCAGACAAATTGGCTAGCACTCATTCGCTTAGGATATCAGCCGATGTTTCATCTGTATTTATTACATCGTCTTAATTTTCTCAAGAATATATAAGCTGAAAAAATTACAGGTTGCAGTATTCGAATTTGCAAATAATTTTCAAAAAATTATATAGTTATCAAACTGCTTTGAAATTATGTACCCGAACTATGCAGTTATCTCACACCATACTTTAGTAGTAGGACGTATGGGACATGTGTTACCGGTGAAACTCGGACCATTCTCGGATTAGTGATAGCAGAGATATATGAGTACGTGGAATATATATACGAACCATTAGTCCGACAACAGAAACTATTAATAAGCATGTGGGGCGCGCGGTGGACGTGAGTATAAAAGTGAACGAATTAACCATTGGTTTAGGTATGTCGTGGAGCTTGTCTGTACATCACCAATCTTCTTTATATCCTTGTACGTTTAAGTCTTAAGTTTTTAAACAGAGACTAATGGGTCGTATGTATATTCCAACTACTCACATATCTCTACTGTCCTAGTCCGAGAATATTTTACTAGTCCCACACGTCTTATCTGACTGCCACATGCATATAATCTGCATACTATAACTAGTCATATTGTCTTCTAGTCATTTGATTTTTGTCATCCGAATGACGGCGACCTGTAGTATTTTATTAACGTTTCTTCGACATGCGCTTCCCATCCATTACAGGACGAACACTGAATTTGCGGCGAACGCGATTAATGCATGCTGTCGAAAAATGCCTAATCCTTCAATAAAGAAGACGAGAAAACTGAACCTCTTTGTCGACACTAAAACATAGAAAAACATATTAGTTTTTAGTCTTCGTTCTAGAGAGGTATGAAAGTTCCCCTTCATACCTCTCTATACCACATTGGTTTGAGCCTAATTTTAGTTTAGAGACCCGGTTTTTCAACGACCAGGTTTTCAAGCTGGAAAACTTTTCAAACAATAAATGTTTTTGATCCAGCCATATGAAAGAGCTCATCACCAAACCTAAGGAAAACCATTTTTTTAGATTTCAGAAGAGGTTTAAAGCGGATTTTAAACGTGCAAAACTGATTTACATTTACTTGATTTATAACTGTCGAAAACAGTGCTCATAGCGAAAAAGTTTTTGAGCCAAAATATTTTCTAGGCCGAAATCGGTGCTTTAGGGATGGTAAGGGTCCACACTATTTTGATATTCGGATTCAGCACCGTCGAGTACCCAGAAAACAGTCATTTTGTCGCACAAAATGCATAAGAATGAGAACTCGTTTTTCCGCTGCAGTTTTAAGTTTTACACGTTTAAAACCCGCTTAAAACCTATTCTAAAACCTAAAAAAATGGGTTTGTTTAGGTTTGGCGATGAGCTCTTTCATATGGCTGGAGCAAACATATTTTTTGTTTCGAAAAGTTTTCCAGCTTGAAAACCGAGTCGTTGAAAAACTGGGTCTCTACACTAAAACTGGAGAAGTGTGGACAAAGTGTCTAAAGACGAATTGACGAATCGCAATTTTTAAGCGTAAAAATGATGCAACAATTCGCGTTTTACCCTTATTTTGCGAATTCGTATCGAATTGATGCGAACTGTATCGAATTCGTACGGATACTCTTAAAAACTTTTACGAATTCTTCTTGCGAATTCGTAAACAGAGAATAGAGCAAACACGATGCTGATCAATAAATAATTCGTCAATACGAGGATTTGAACAGCTGAAAGAATTTACGCTCTTAGGTGGTGTATACAAAGGTTTCATCAAAAATCCTGAAATCTGGGTCTTAGGAAAACTAAAATTTCAGAAAACCAAGTCCCCGAGTTCAATCTAGAAATTCTTTACAAGTACGTCCATCCTGTATAACAAAGATTTCTGAAGAAAATGAGACTTCTTCCAGCTCTTTAGGACATTTATTCATGGACCAACAATCCATTTATGGAAGGCCCCATAGCAACAAAACTAACGGGAAAATAAGAAGATACGCCCTTAGAATCTTCCATAAATTGAATACTGGTACATGAATAAATGTCCTAAAGAGCTGGAAGACATGTAATTTTCTTTAGAAATCCTTGTTCTACAGGATGGACGTACTTGTAAAGAATTTCTAGATTGAACTCGGGGACTTGGTTTTCTGAAATTTTAGTTTTCCTAAGACCCAGATTTCAGGATTTTCGATGAAACCTTTGTATGCACCACCTAAGAGTGTAAATTCTTTCAGCTGTTAAAATCTTTTTTCGCATTTATTCTAGCTATTATGGCTGAGGAGAAAAATGAAATGTAAAAGTGCGAAGAATTTTTGGACCCACTGTAGGATTAAGTGGCGAAGTATTTAATACACAAAAACCGCTGCCAAGCTTTGCCATGTTTGCCATGTACAGACAATATCTTAAATTTGATATTGTCAAGAGCTATTTTTCTGTACTAAAGACTAGTTGGATTCTCTCTTATCTATGGGAGTAAAATGGCTAAAACATCAATTGTGTTGACTTTTAGGTGTCCATGGGCTCATATTTGACCTATAAAGGACTGAACCAATGATATGCAGAATTTGCTTAATCAGAATATCGTAGAGCTTCAAGAACTATTTTCTATATCAGCTTTACCATAACTTCGTATTAGATTTGAACAAAAGCGTTTTTGTTAAGTGCCGTTATGCTTTATGTACCTTATGGAACAATCAGTGGAACTCAAACTAACTTAAAACCTCACATCACTCACAGAACCAGTTGGACCGGTAATGGTAACCAGTCACAACCGGTTGGATCGGTACCAGTAAGCGGTCAGAACCGGTAACGGTTAATCCGTTGTCAACCGTAACCGTTACCGTTTTCTCCTTATTGTGTCCTGTATCGTTCAGAGTGTTTGGTGTTCTCTCTATTGTACTGTAAACATTTATATGCTCATTTCACACAATTTGTTATTTACTCAATTCGAGACTTTGCCAACACATATTCTATTTACTTCGACAAAATTTGTGGAATTATGCTCTAGTATCCAAGCCCTATACGTTTGTCTTGTTTGAAATTTTCGAAAATATCAATACATGTATGTATATATCAATACAGATAGTTAGTCGCAGCTATTTAGACCTCGTACTATGTACCTTTTGTCATACAAGAAACATTTATTTAATTTAAATACAACGCACTAGGTTGATGTTGTAAACAAGTCTCCGAAGTTAACACCGGAGTTAAGGATTTTTTTTGTGGAGTTGGAATTGCGGTTTTGAACTTTTATTCTCAACTCCGTTTTGCATTTTCGAAAATATTCAATAGTTGTATACTGATCTTCTAAACGATTGAGTAGCTGTATTCACGAGTGAATTCGGAAGGTCTTTGCGCTTTCCTGTCGGAAAAAGCCGAGAAACGTCCAGAATCCTGCTAAAAATCGAAAAATTTTTCTTACAAAAGCGAAGCAATCGGAGTTGAAGGGGAGTGAGATTTTTGTTGACAAAGTTGGAGATTTGAAAACGGAATTGGAGTTGAAAGTCAGCGGGGTTGCCCAGCTCTGAGGGAAAATGCGAACTTTTTGAAAAACATATATTCGGACTATTTTTGAAAATTCTGAAGCTCGTTCGAGCTATAGTTTTAACCTTTAATATTTCAGGCTTTTACGTGCGGTGTGGCAAACTCAAAATTCAACTGCTTTTTACTTTTTCGATTTATATAGATGGTTGGATCGAGCGCGTCGAACTGATTCCGAATATGTGTGTTTCGGTCTTCCAAAAAAACTTTTTGAGGGTCAAAATTAGAAAAAGCTGAAGAATTCTGATAAAAAATTCCGCCATATTTTGAGAAATCAGCGTATATCTTTCGAACAGTGAGGTTGGAAGCTTTAAGAGTTTTTCTTACTCTGCGTTAAAAACAGAATCTGAAAAAATTTCTAATCCTTATGATCATGAAAAATTTTAGTCTTCCGACCATAGTGGAAACTCTCGACAAAAGTAAAAGTGGTCGGATTGCATAAAAAGTGACTTCTGATCGAGAAAACAGCGAATTATCGTCAGAATTCCGATTTTTTCCCTTATGATTTAGACAATGCCATATCTCAGGTACAAAAGACAATTACATAAAAGAAATGCAGAGTTTTGCAGACTAAAATTTTTCATGATCATAAGGATTAGAAATTTTCTCAGATTCTGTTTTTAACGCAGAATAAGAAAAGAAAGCTGTTAAAGCTCCCAACCTCACTATTGGGAAGATATACGCTGATTTTTCAAAATAAGGCGGTTTTTCGAATTTCAGAATTTTTCAGCTTTTTCGAATTTTGACTCTCAAGAAGTTTTTTTGGAAGACCGAAACACACATATTCGGAATCAGCTCGACGAGCTCTGTCCAACTATGTTTATAAATCGAGAAAATAAAAAGCGGTTGAATTTTGAATTTTCCGCACCTTAACTTTGAACAAAAAAACTGAATGAGAATCGTTTGGAGAAAGAGTTATTTTTTGACAATGTTACCGACTTTTTCAACATCCTCCGAGACTCTCTTAAAATTTTCTCTTTTCTGGTAGAAAAAATCAGTTAGAAATACTGGATGATATAAAAACCATCCGAAACATCTACAAAGCATGGCTGATCATTTCTTTTGACCTCATATCAACTGATCTGCATCATGCACGATTGGAAAAAAAAAGATTTAATGAGTATTATCCACCATTATGCAATTAGTTCTGTGCTCAAACGGGTATTTAATAGATCTTTTTTATGACGTGATAATGCTCCTAATGATAGTGTTTCGTCCTATAAACATCATTATCATGTAATGTTAATGACTAGTTCTACTTGTTATACACACGTGCAACCGAAACTGTTGCATGCGCTACACTTTGGACCGAGATCAGAGATGCAATCGGTATCGACACCGGTATCAGTTCATCTGTGACATATTTCTTCCACCAAAATTTCATTCCAATTACTTAAACTTTGTCGGCTTATATAAACTTCTATATTTAAAAAATTGAATTGCATTGCTATTTCGTTAAAAAAAAGCGTATGAAAAATCCATGCTGTACTAGTTGATTTTTCATACAATTTTTTAATGAATCAGACTGAAAAGATTAATCTATCCCTTTGATAACATAAGTAATTGATCAAAGAAAAGTAATCGGCTTTTTTCGCTAAATATTAACAGACTTTTTCACATCATGTGTAATGTAAAGTTTAATTTCAAAAGAACTAATTGCTTTGCTAGCCTATAATAATTGTGGATATCGTAATTGAGTGAAAATAGTTATGATATTTTTTTCCCCTTGACTTGGACGTATCTGTTAATTACTGAATTTGTGCTAATAATTTTGTTTCAAAATCTTGTTCAAAGAAACTTTCTTGAGTACATATATGAGTCACCGAGTATGAGTACGAGTAAAAGCCATCAAGTACGAGTATGCAATCGTACTCTTCTTACGACTTTAGTTCTTAAGAAGGATACAAGTTGTTGTAATTGTAAAAATACCATAGTATTAGACAAGAATTAAATGATCATGCGGCAACAAGTTGACAGTTCACCATGTTTTTATTATTTAAATATTTTTCATTTTATAACTAGACAATTGCTAATGGTTAAAAGGAAAGACGTTTTTTGTTTTCTCTTTTCAATATATATCAACCAGCATTCAACAGAAAAAAAAATGAATAAACAATGCATCTTGTACCAGCTGGCATCAGAGGAGAAACAATTCATCACTTATTTTTAGAGTATATTCAGTATGATAATAGCAGAAAAACTATGTCAGAAGAATTTTAAAAAGTTTTCATCAATGACATTAAAAACCATGTACTTTTTGAAACAACATTTTAGAAGAAAAATATATGAAAACTCTATATTCCTCTGTTTTAAAGTTCATTGAGGATACGACACGGAGCGCTTTCATTAGTGATGTATGTAAATTTTTTATTCTATTAACAAACTTTCCTCTCCTAGTAGACACTCTCTGTATTCTTTTCTATTTTATTGTTTTTCATCTCGTCCACGTTGCATATTATTTTTATTTGATCAGCTGTTATTTTGAATACTGTGAAATCTTCATTTTTTTTATTTTCTCTAGCGTCGTTCTGCTTATTGTACTGTTGCTTTCTTTTTCTATTTTTTTCTTTTGTTTTGAAAAGTATGTATGCGCATGATACAACTTGTAATGAATCTTCATAATTCAATTAGTTGTTTGAATAAACATGATTAAATTAAAATTATTTTGTGGCTTTTAGATGGTTTTCGACGCTTGGTTAATATCGTATACATAGAGGCAAGTCGACCAGAACTTTTTAGCTAAAGTTCTCATTTTGCATCTTTATTATTCATCAGAAAAAGCAAATTGATCTGCAGATGAAAATATCTGAATTATTCACTTCTTTGTGGAGTCTGTCTGCTGTGTTTTCTAAGATTGTTCAATTATTTTTCTACGTGTATTTGATTGTGCGTTAGTTACCTTTATTTCAGTTTATCCGTTATGAATAAAAAACAGTATCATAAAACTTTTTAAAAAGTTTTGTTTATTTTCCAATGAAATTAATAAGGTGAGTACCAAATTGGACGCCCGAATTGATCACATTTGGAAGATGGCCCCAATTTATACGTGCTTCTTGCTGTATTTGTGCATATTGTTCTAACAATCGATAGATATTTTGCTCCAATTCAGCCGTTTGACGCTTACTTGGAATACCAGCTGCTGATAAGGAGCCAATCAACACAGTAACAAGCAAAATGAAAATAAAGAATCGCATTTTTCTGATGAATATGATAATTTTGAGTGAAACAAAACTTTTAACTGTATTTATGTATATTGATGAAACGACAGTGTTATCACAAACAGTTGCAATCATTCGCATAATATCGAAGGAATGAAATATCAAAAACGAAATCATGAGAAGTTATACAACGTGTTGTTTTTATGCTTTCAAGGACGCAACAACAACAAATTTACAAAAAAATGAAAGTAGATGTAGAAGTACTGCAAACTAGAGACTGGTTAGAGATTTATAGTAAGTGTCAGTAAAATCAATTAATTGATGAACGCTGTCGGAATAAACAATTAGTCGACAGAAATCCGATACCAAGGGATGAATAAAATATGTCATTTGTCATATTCCTTGTTATTGTACTTGAATAAAGCTTCTATGACATATCCTACAGGAATCTTATCTGATCCAACTGCAAGAATCCTATGTAATAATATTATGGAAAACGTATCAGTTCCTACACTATCCTATGGGTATCAGTTCATGTTCTATGACATTATACGAAGATGCCGCTTAAATACGATATGTAACTTATTTACCGTTTTATTTTGCGTGAAGCCATCTTTATACAGCAACTAAAAAAATATTTTTAAATCTTCTTCCGTGATCTCTCGAAGTATGAATCTGAGAGTGAGTCATCTGCAGACAAAACATCTGTATGACTCAGTTCGCAATATAATTGTAATATCAGATCCTACCATTGATAGACCTGTTTTTGACAGGATGTAACTATCTATAGAAAAAAAGTGGTATACTTAAATCTCTTAAACTTATACGACCGAATAAATATATGATTAAACAGTCTTCAAATTTCGTATAAAATATGGATAAAATAATAGTAGTCTAGGCTATAGTAAACGGAAGGATAAATTATCGACCATCATAAATCTTGTGCCAGTGTTCGTGTTTAGAAACATGCGAAAACTTAGTAAATCTGAGTTTTGAGAAAAATCTCCAAATGCGAGGTATGGGCTTACAAAAGTAAAACAAGGCATATTTCTCTCAGAATCTGAAAACATCACTTGAAGCACTTAGAACACGATCAAATACTTAGAATAGACAACTAGAACACAAAACATCTCTAAATTAAGCTTTTTTATCTTGCATAAAATTTTCGAAAAATCCTTAAAAATCTCAAAGGTATGCAGAATTGGGTATTTATTTTTTCTAACTGTGTTAACTTTTCTGGAATTTTATAAGCTTTTTAAGTAACCTTAAAATCCAGAGAATTTCTGAGATTTTTCTTAGAAAAGTCTAATCTTGAAAAGATAGTTTTATCAGATAGAGTTTTTTTGTATTTCTCTATGTCCTACCTCGGAATCTCTTGTAGCTGAATTGCTGCGATCGAGTTCATAAATTTTGAAAATTAAGTGGTTTCGATTGATCGAGATTTAGAGAATGTCAGATCGTTTCGGCTACACATAATCAAAGGATATGAAGACAAAACAACAAGTAAGTTTGACAGCATGTAATGAGATGATACCTCTATTTGTCGTATTTTTGAATAAAAATTTACTGTTTAGAAAAATAAAGGAACCAAATATGTCTACGATGAAACGAAACAACGAGAATGGTAAATCAAGAGCTAAAAAACATGTCTCAAACGGGAAGGGAAAAAATTAATTTATTATTGACTCTGAACACAACTGGATTCTCGAGAAGGCTACCTTATCTCCCTTATTTTAATTCTAGTTTGATCCTTCATTATGATCACACTTCCGTAATACGGTCAAAACATCGACTATAGAAACGCAAAGAAAGATAGAATTATGGATATGCTGTTGTCACACTAACTTTTATCTGTTCCTGTGCAATGTTAATAAAAAGACTAAATAGAATATGTTTGATAAAAAAAACACATTTTTTTTTCAACAAATATTTGTACATGACAGAAAAGGCAAAAATACAACACATCAGATACTTTGAATTTACCAGCTATTGAAGAAGATAAGAGAACATCTATGTCACTCCGTAAATAAAATCTTCAACTAGTGATGATGTACATGAAACTCGTAACCATTTGTGTGCTTTTTTATTGAAATCATGATTTATTCAATATTTACATGTGTACTGCTCGCATTTGCATACGATTGTTCATATTCAACGATTTCGAAGCCACATCTAGAAGATCGTGAACAATATTTTGGAAACGATTTTAAGTCACTATTCATGCGTAAAAATTCATCTTCAGCTACAACTAAAAGAACACTTTCGACAACAACGTTCTACAAGAGAAATCATAGTTTTACACTAAATATTCGTAGGACAGCTGGAATCTTAGCTGGTGTTGCTGTTACTCTTGGTTTGCTACGTATTTGTCTTGCGTTTTATAAAAGTAAATCATGGCCCTCAAGATTTGTTAATCGGAGACGTCCAACTTCGTCACAAAATACAGTTGGATCGTCCATTGCTGTTATTGATGTTCCTGCCCTACCAAAATTAGATTTGCCACCAAAATATGAGGAAGCAATTGCCTTACAAAATCGCAAAGAATGGAAATTGCCCTCATACGAGGAATTTCAAAAATCGTCAGAAGAACCGACTACATTAGATACTATCGGTAATAATTCAACAGTTACAACACTCCTCTGATTAATTAGTTTTACTACTTAGTCCACTCGCACTTCCTTAAAGTCACGTACATACAGTAATAAATCTATTCTACTATATTTCTTTGTATATATCTATCCAGCACTTCTTCGCCGTATCATAAATCAAATTCTATCAGATTCTGAACTTTTTTGAAGAATTGAGTGAAACTTTTTAGTTCAAAAGCACTTCGAGCTCACTTCCTGCTAAAGTTGCATAACCAGTAAAAACTAAGGATTTCCATTATTGCTCAAAAACGTGACAAAACCTCACACAGCAAAATCTTACGGATTTATCAAAATGATTTATAACTCCGAAACATATTTATCTAATTCAAAGGATTCTAGTGTTTCGTGGACGAGTTCCATCATGGATCATTTAGGTTGGTTTTACAACTTTTTTATGATCGCACGGATGACTGAAGCATGTTTATATCAACACTGGGAGGACGCGACAATTTAAACCTTTAGATACATCGTGCCATAAGCCATACTAACCACGTCGAGCCATAAACTTTTTTTAGTACCATTCAAGACTGGAATGACCTAGATCACAACCTTCATTCTCTAATCTAACAGGTGCTGAACGGTTTTCCACACAGTTAAAGTAAAATCTTAATTTTCCATCACTTCAGCCGAAATGGTTCTCTGTCGAAAATAGAAGTAATATTAGTCATATGACAAGGATGCGTTTAGGATTCAGTTTTCTGTTTCCCATTAGTTACAGACACAAATACTTATCCCAGTATAGAACAGATTTTAAAGGGTACGATTCCTTGAGTGTAGAACAAAACTGTTTCGTAGTGGAGCACATACATCAATAAAAAACGTTTTGCTTAATAACTTATCATATAACCTTTCTCATCATTATCATATTATCATCTTCGCTTAGAAATTATATTCTTATATAGAAAATAATCATTACAATTAACTTCTTCATGCTTCTGCTCTACTCTTTCCTTCGTGTCTTCATGAATATCATCCATATTTTTGTTCTATTTTGTACACGTACTTATTAGCAACATCAAGTTTAGTACCCAAGAGGAAAAGTATTTTCTATAGTATAATCTTTTTTAAATACATAATGGTATATATATGTTGAAGTTCAGATTAAAATCCAGTTGCGTTTAAAACTGAATTAGGTCAGATCGAAATTTCAATAAAAACTAGGTGAATTGAAAATTTTAACGTGAACTAGCTCACTTTAAAAGCCGTTTCAAAATTAACTAGCACATTTCAGAATTTTGCTTTCTCGTAGGTCTAATCGAAAGTTTGATCTAAACTGTGAAAGCAGACTAGATGGATCTGAAACTGAATTGGATCAATTATGCATTTCAGAACGACCTAGTTGTGTTTTAAACTGAACTAGACAATATTAAAATGCATGAGCCTATATTCTCTACGCACTTACAACAAGATGAAACTGAGGTTGTAGACTCAGTACAAAGCAATGCCTGATGCGTGTACACCTGTCCAGATACTAGATAAGTAATACTTTGGTCAGTCATATTGTCATGGAAAATGTTATGGAGGAAAAGCAACAAAATGTGTTAAAAACATATATTTGCTCACTTTTCTTTTCTTGCTTTTTTAAACTTCACAGTAAAAGAAGAAAAGAGGATAGGATACTACAAGAAGGGGCTTCTTGTAAAACATAAGTATGATATAAGTTTATTTTATTGAACGCCACTGCATTTTAATACCGTCCAGTTCAGTTTAAAACACAACTAGTTTCAAATCTACCTATTCTGCTTTGCCAGCTAAGATCAAACTTTCGATTAGACCTAGAAGTGATTTTTTTCTGCGATAGTGCTGGATGTCAATTATAATCACAGAAAATCCCAACCTTCCATCACTATTTCTTGCTACGTTTGAAAATGTAGTGAAACAACATTTATTAATTGTAGTTGATGTGGAAAACAGATATGCTTTAACCATTCTTTTACTGAATACCATGTTGATTAATATTACAACTTTCAATGGATCTTCTTTCTCAACTATCTCTTTTTTTTCTACTTGTTTCTGTTCTTATGTTTAAAAATTTTAGTTTAGGTTATCTGTTTACACAAAATATTTTTTCAACGGCTTATAGGCAAAAAAATAGAAAAACCGTTAGCAGCAGGTTTCTGCGTGGCAGAATGGAGACAACATTCACTCTGATGATGCTGTTCGTCAGATTGAGCGGCCAACCGACTCCCAACCCAAACTATCTTTCTTCGAAAAACTTATCGATATATCGTTTTCTATCGCTTTTCTGAAACACATAGATTCTCCTTAAGAACGGAAACATTTTATAACCTATAAAAAAATGCAGAATTTAGGGAGCTTTTAAATTGAAAGTCATTAGATTTTTTAGAAAGTATATCGTCAGGCACTTATATACTGAATAACCTCTGAATAACTCCTTTGACTTTTATTTACGAGGGCTCTCAAAACTCTTAAACCACGTGTATTTTTAGTTTTTCTCCTCAAAGATAATAGTCAAAATAAATCTGAAGAAACATTTGCATGGCTCAAGGGTTTCCAATCTGGTATGCGGCAAACAAAGATTTCATTAAAATTTCTGCGATCCAGATCTATGGAAAACCAAAACCCTAGAAAACTAAGTCCTCGAATTCGTGTGATACTTTTCTTGTGATAGCCTTATCGAGTACAGGAAATATTCCTGAACAAATCAAAATGCCTCTGAGTTATCTACAGCACTGTTTCATCAAACAGCACTCGATCTGAGAAAGCCGTTGAAATGTTTTTATAGGTTGAAAGAATTTTGGATTAAATCAGGCGGCTGCCAACCATCGAGTCTGACTAGAACCGTCAGGTTACTACAGTAATAGTCAGATTTACAGGAATAGTACAATTTCTATCTGTCACTATGCCACGGAATAGATGTATGAAATTTTTGCTGTCCTCTTTTGTTGATTTCAAATTATTTGACTCATGGAATTATGGCACTTTCGTCTTACAACCCTTTCATTATTATGACGAACGCATTTTCATCATACGAGTTCACTTCACGAAAGTTCATGAGGTCGGGGGTACTCCTCGGGAACTGGCGTCATCAAAATGTGAATTTTCGTCACACACACACAAAAATTCATTGCATGAGGCGAATTTTCGTCACATATAAATACTAGGGGTGGCGCTTTCTTTACAGGTAACGCAGTAACGCAAGCGTTATTGCGTTACTGGTAACGAGTAATGCATGCGTTATTGCGTTACTCGTTACCAGTAACTACTAACGAGATGCGTTTATTTTTCATAGCTTTTGTAACGAGTAACGCAGCGTTATTTGCGTTACTTTAATGCTTTTTTGCGTTACTAGAAAAGTAACGCAATAACGCATGCGTTACTCGTTACCAGTAACGCATAATATAGTAACGCTTTAGTCGCATTGTGTCCGAAAGATGATAAAACAATACATTTTCGGTTGTTCGTCACTCATACGATGATATTTGAAAGCGTTGCTTTACTCAGTAAAGTAACGCATCAGTAAAGAAAATGTGCCACCCCTAATAAATACTGTTATGTGACTGGAATAGAAACCGATGCTGTACGATCATTATGTGATTGGTAGCACTTACTCAGCAAGAACTGCACTGGTTCTATTCATGATAGAAAGAAAAGAGAGATAATCGTGTAAGTTTAGGATAAGCAGTACTAAGTCAGGAAGTACTACCTAAGGAAGAACTTCATTGGTTTTACTCTTTCTGTGATGAGTAGAACCAGTGCAGTTCTTGCTGAGAGAGTAATTACTTATTAAGTGCTACTCACACTTTAAAATACTGCTCCTGTCACTCATATTGAAATGCGGGAATTAACATTCACGTTCTACCGCTTTTTATTTAAAAATACATGGAACCGTTTCTTATCTGTTTCTCATCTTTTACCTTATTCGTTTTCTTTTTTCATAATAAACAAAAATGACATCATGTCATCATGAATAATTTATCTCTATAAAGTACTTGTAATAGCCATGAAAAACTGTATTTCATTTATCTGAGTGGTTTCCCCTGTTATTGTACCGTTTCTATGGAAAAATGTACAAGAATAAACTTACATGTGAACTTTTTTTTCACTAAATTTGTACTCAGTAAATTTTGACAGCTCAGGCAATGATGAAAAACTAATTTTCCTGGCTGACTCTCATTTTTCTCAGCAAATGAGTTTCGCTACGAAAAGCATAAAAGTTTCAGAGTCCATTGTGGAGCCTTGGTGAAATGTTTGTGCTACTTTTAGACTTTCTCTTTTTCTGAGACGATCTTAATTCTATAGTTTAGACTAATGCTGCTTATTGCTTTTTACAATTTTCATTTCAATGTTTTTCTTTACAGTTTTGTTTACCAAATGTTATTGGTTCATCTACTTAGCTTCACGACGCTTAATTTCATGTCTTCAGTTTGGATTGAGGTGAACTCCGACCGTGATATTCTGAATCATTAACATTGATTATATGTAATCCCGTTCGCTTATTAGAATTAGAGGCCATTGCTCTTTTTAATACCAGTCCGTACTAAGTGGATGAAAATGAATCGCATGGTGGCTCAAAATTCTCATGAAAATTTTCTAAAGCAATACTAAGAAGCGGATTTTTGTTTACACACCATAAGTCTTTCTTCAGTGCAGATCGTTGTTTCTTTTATTTTTTATCACATATATCAGAAATGGGCGAGTACGAGTATTACTAGAGTACAATATTTGCAATACTCGCACTCGTGCTCATATTCGAGACTTCTTTTTAGTGATTGCTCGAAAAAGTATTCGAGTACTTTGACTCCTTTGAATTTGATGAAATTCCGAATACATTTCTCAAATAATATAATATAGGATTTCTTTTAAAAATTGATGGTACAAAGGAAAACTAGAGTTAGGAACGAACAATTGTTCAAATCTCTCAAAACTCTTCGTGGTCGAAAATGAAGCAACTTCGTTTTCTTTGAAATATCTGTGAGCACTATTCGACTGAAATTTTGTTGTACTCGTACTCAAAAAACCGTGTACTCGTCCATCCCTGTCATATACAGAATGAAAATATTAGTAATTGAACGCTACTGTATTAATGGTGTTTCATAACTTAATTTTCTTTTTTTTGTTTAATAATTCGAAATTGTATGTTATTGCTTGATGTAACTTGTATGATGTATTGATGTAATAAAATCCGGGAGGATGTTGTAGATGACGTCGTTGTGTATTCACTAAATACAACATACAAAAACAACAAGTATCATAGACGACCACAAGGCGGTTGGAATGGAAGCGATACTACCACCACCAGTACCACCAGTATATTGTAATGTTAAATAAATATTGGTTTTATGTGTTTTTTGGTCATATTCGACTTTGGTGATTGTAAATGCTGTGGCAGGAGGAAGGAGGACTTCGTCTTCCTCTGGAAAGTCTGAGCATGATGATATGTCAATGCCGGAGTACTCTTTCGCCTCTATTATGAATAAAGTATTGCCGAAGTTTGCGGCTTTTTCATGACTCTTACTTGTAGAAGAAAATCCATTCCAACATCTACGCTGACCGATCGCTTCCGCATATAAGTTAATCGTATTCGAATCCATCTCAGCACCTCGATAGATCCCAGTAGGGCATCCCTTATCATCGGTATACCAGCTTCTGAATAAAATGTAGCAGAAGGGGCCCAAAGTGTCGACTTTGGTTTTATCGTTTTCTCTCATTGTTTTATTTATTAGTTTATAGAGAAAGCATTCTTTTGTGTATAGCTTAATGCAGGACTTGTAAATTTCTTTTCTGTCTTTATTTTTCACGGCTGTAAGTTGACGGGCTATCCATTGTGATTCGCAATGTTGGCCTAGTTGATTCCCTTCAATAATGATCCCATTCGCTGCCTTTTCCACTATTTCAGGATCTGAAAGTTTCTCATCTTTCTTCCATTGTGAAAGAAATGTAACAGCCCCTGTACCCAAATCATCATTGAACGGTTTATTTAATGGTTGTGGAAGAAAGAATCGTTCTTCTCTTAAACATTGATTTCTCCTAGTTAGAACTCGCTTTATCGGCCTTTGTTTATTTTCATGCGATTTACTGATTTGAATGCCATCATTTACACTAATCCAGTAATTATCCAATTCAGCAAGTTTTGTTTTATCTTTTCCCTTAAATGCTTCTTCAATAATTTCTGATTCGATTACAGAATAATTTGTCCATTCCTCTTTCTGGTTTGACAATGGATCGGAATTCGATTTCCAATACCATTGAGCTCGTGTCTGACCAGTTAGTTTTACCGCCTGACTGTCCATTGATTAGACCGTTTTCAACTGATTGTTAGCTAAAATGTCCTTGGAACTAGAAAAATTGTTGGACAAGTAACGAGAATATTGCGTAAATTGAAGAGACACTTTTTCGACATTTCAAGAATATGTCTAAGTGATTATGTTTACGTTCTATTTCCATTGCAAATTCTTTGTGGGTTTGTCAATGATTAAAGAAGAGGTTTTTTCGATATTTCTAACTAAAAATCTGTCTGTGGCTTCACTATAGTATAGATGTTTATGTTGTTTTTCAGTTTTAAGTCAAGCATTATGAAGTATAATATAACTCACCATGTGCAGTACAGTAGTTTATTATTGAATTTTACTTCAATCAAATTGTAAAGAAAAGTTCCTTATACAATATGGACATTTGTACGCTTGAATCTACTAATATACATTGTTATCATTTTCATAAGACAGTCGTGAAAAAACCGGACACAAAACAGTGATTTTCTTCTCTTTCTATTTATAAAACAAACCGGGCACAAGTCAATGAAAAACCCAGGTACATTTCTTTTTCTGGCCACAAAAGCATGAAAGCATTTATTTGTACTCGGACCGGGCACTAATTAGTAGCATCGGGCACGAAGAAATGAGAAAGCCAGACAAAAAATTCTCATCCTAAGATCAATCTATCTTTTGAAAGAATAATTTTTACTTCACTATAATTTTTACACGTTTGAACACACACTATCTCAAACTAGAATGAAAGTCGGAAATTCAGGGTGGTCAGAAAGAGTTTATTTAACTGCTGAATATAAGAGAAGAAAGTATGATTTGTTAAACGTTAATCACCAATATTGAGAACTAAATATCTCAAAAACCAAAAAGGATCTTTTTCTAGAAAATACATCAGTACATAGTACAACTTGTATACTTCAGACTAGTATAAGAAGTGGAGATGGACCCTCTCTAGTTAATTTAATTTTAATCTGAGAAGTTGGCAGTGCATCGGATGAGCACGGCTTGTTTTGGACATCGAATAAATTAGTATATATCGGGTGGCCCAGATAAAATCGGACACTTTCATTCGTTGTTCATGAGGCATTGTTCGGTAGTCCACAGAGTTAGTTCTAAGCTCAATCGATAGAGAATTGAATTCTCTACAAAACTTGCTATTTGAATCTCTGATAACAGTTTTGTCGTTTGTGCACTATTCAGAATATTGAAGAGTGCTGAGTTGCCTGACTGCAACAAGCTTTTGTCGTCTCCTTTTTTGAAATTTTTAGCCCATTATCTGAGGTTCAATTTATCTACGTAGATAGATAGAGAATTTTGTGCTCTATCGATCTCACTTCTTTATAACTTCATACAATGTTTCTGCTACTCCAGCTAAACTTATAATTAGCTCTCAACCTATTTTTCAATTTTTTCAAATTAACTTAATTTTTTTAATTAATGGTTTCAATAGAGAAACTTTGTTTAAATATGAAACGATGCTGAATTTAAGTCTGCGTAAGAAAATAAGACTAAAACCCTGGATTCACAACATTTTACTGCTTTTATAGGCCAAAAACTAAATTCTGTGAAAAATAGGTTCAAAACTTAGGTTTTATTGGATTTGTCAG